AAAAAAAAAATTACACAACTCCATTACATATTCCTTTTCAAAAAATTATGTTTTCCAAAAATATCTTTTAGAACATCAAAAAAATTCAAGAAGTGCAAAATTGTGGAATAACACCAATAGAGATGATTATTATTGTAAAGAAAAAAATTAAGAATGTTCTATTAACAAACAATTTTCCACTTTTGGCTGAGATGAACAATTTTAGCGTGATGATCCATTTCCATCTCGGAGATTATGAGGGTTGTTATGAAGAGGTGCGAAGAAGGTAATCAAAAGATGTCGAAAAATAAAAGAATAATATTGCATACAATGTCGTATAACAGAAAAACTAGAAAAAAAAAACGATTTACAAAATGAAAAAGAAATATAATGTCGACGGTTGTGTGGCCATCAAATTTTGTAATGTGATGGTCAATTTCTTGTGAGTGTCCAACAAAATTAAAATTAAATGACATGATATATGTTCCACACACTAAGGGGTGTTTGGATTAAATTTTTAGCTTATTGCTTATAGCTTATTTGTGGTGGGAATAAGCAATAAGCAATGGAAGGGATGCTTATTAAAATTAGCTTATTTAGCCTAATATGCTGGATTTTATCCAAACACTTAAATTAGCTTATTGTGGAAATAAGCAATAAGCACCTCTTTTTTTCCTATCCAAATTCATCTACAAGGATAAGCACATCCACCCTTATGAGTTGATAAGATTACCATATTTTTTATGGAATCCAACATCCAACATATAATCAAGGCATATGATTTTTGGATAATCTCTAACAATCCCTACCTTTAAAAGGGACATTATATCCAAAAGGACCAAAACAATTACACTAACCGTTTGGGATACTGCACACCATAACTGAGAGGTGCAGCCAGTATAAGTATTCGGTAGCCCATCAAAATAAAGGCCCAGTATAACTGAGTGCATGTGTTTGTAACTTTGTATATTTGTTCGAAATAAGCTTTGTTTAGGAAAAGTGTGAAATATAAAATTGTTGTTTATTAAGTTTTCTAAATATTAGATAATTACCATTTTAACCAAGCTTGCTTATGATAAGGTAATAAACCCAAGATCCGCAAACTTTTAACATGTAATAATTCATTTCAAAAACTTGAATAATAAATGACAAAAACTTTGATCAAACAAATACCATGATACATAGCAACCCACGACTTCAATCCCAATAGTTGTTGACTGAGTCAAAATGTGACTGGATCATATATAATCACGAATTTAAATAAGTAAAAGGCATATAAGATGAGTTAGGACCGAGACAAATGTTTTTAAATATTATATAAAAACACTTTAAATCTAACCAAATTAAAATTAACCTTCTACCAAACTTAATAAAAAAAAAACATATCCTAGTTTCCGTAGTTGAACAGATGACATTTGGCTGTTAATTTTAACTGGTTATTGATTTGTAATGACGAGAGTGATCCCTTAATCTTTAAGCCATGTGCCTTGAGCCCCACTAAAATGTTCACTTGCCTCCTCTTAAATTGCGGCCATATCATATGTGTAGCCACCGCCTATATGATGTAAATACTTTCTTTAATAAGAAAATAAATACGTATATAATCTGAGGTGATACGAGAATTTCGTTGTCAAACTTGTTAATATATACACTAGGTGTGAGCCCCGTGTATTACACAGGTTTATTAAAAAAAATTGAATATAAAATAATAAGGATCAACTTTTCAATATATCTACCATAGTAAATGAAAACTAATTTCTTTGTTTATAATTGGATTTCATAAGATTTTTTGTTTTGAAAAAGTTATTGTATAAGTGAAAATTATGATATGTAAAAATTTAATTATGGAAGAATTGATTATTGCCTAATTTGTAGTTGTACGTTTTTTTAGTATGGTTATTGAAATTTAATTTAATGATTCTACATAACATAAATAAACTCGCATAAAATATGGAATTTACTTTTAAATTTAAGAAAATTGAAAGCACAAGAAAATGTCAAGTGGAAAAAGAAAAAATCAAAAAATCCTACAAAATGATATGTGTCAAACTAAATGAGAACATGACATTTGGCAAAACCATTTTCATTTATTAGGGTAGATGTTTCATATATATATATATTTCGAAAGTTTTTTTTTTTATAAAATTAAAAAAATGTTGATAGGGTTGTTAAAATTATATGTTTTGGTCCAAAAATATTTGGTTGTACATTAGTGGTCCCATTTTGAATATCTTATATGTCTTTTGTCTAAAACCATTAACTTTAACAGTTTACTTGTTAACTATTTTTAAAATGACAATTTTATATGGGATCATTTTTGCAACCAAACTAAAAGGATTATTTTGCTTATCTTCTTTTTAATTTTATTCAATTACTATACATTAAATTTTTTAATTAATTTATATTTTTCTTAATTTCTTTTTATTGGATTATTATATATTAATAAATATTATTTTTAATATACAATACTTATATATTAATAAATATTATTTTATTGGATTATCAATTTCATTTAATTCATTTTTTATTTTTTATTGGATTAATTCTTTTTTATTGGATTAATATATATCAATAAATATTATTTTTAATATATAGTATTTATGTATTAACAAATATTATTTTATTGGATTATTACTTTCTTTTAAATATTTTTTAAAAAATTATTCAATTATTATATGTTAATAAATATTATTTTTAATATATAATATTTATATATAAATAAAAATTACTTTATTGGATTATAAACTTCTTTTGGTTGATTTTTTAATTTCTTTTTTATTGGATTAATTTTTTTATAACATCACCACCATCTTAATTTATTTTTAAAAAGAAATCTTATTTGCATATATGATTGAAAAATAATAGTAACAGTGGCAAACATTGTCAATTCTCAAAGACTTGATTTTAATCTATAAATTCACCAAAATAATCATGTTTTATTCGATGCATAAAAAGTAAATATGGGGAATTTGAAACACGTAAACTAGACTAACATATGGTAAAATAAATACTAGAAATAAATATTATTTTTAATATATAATATTTATATATATATAAATAAAAATTACTTTATTAGATTATTAATTTTTTTAGTTAATTTTTAAAATTTTTTTATTGGATTAATTCTTTTTTGTTTTGGATACAACACCGCCATCCTAATTTATTTTGAAAATCCCACCCATCCCACTACTTGGTGATGGTGGTGGTGTTTGATGGGTGTTAAATCCATCAAACAATAAATCTTATTTGCATATATGATTGAAAAATAATAGTAACAATGGCAAACATTGTTTATTCACAGGAACTCAATTTTAATCTATAAATACACCAAAATAGTCATTGTTTTATTCCATTCATAAAAAGTAAATATGAGAAACTTGGAAAAACATAAACTAAACTAACATACGGTAAAACAAATACTAGAAATAATAGTAAAATAATATGGTTTTGAGTTTTATTTACCTAATTGATGGAAGCTAATGATGAATCGATGCCAAATTGAATTTTAGTCTAAGTTGGTATTTGAGGATGCTAACAAGCTCTAATATCTTCCATTCACCAAATTGTTTAATCAAAACAAACTCTTTGAATTAAACATAATCTTACTAACCTACTATAAACAAGTTCTTATAAATAGATTGAAAGATCATATTAAGTTTTGTGTGAATGTTCCTAACAACGCTCAATATATCTAAAAGTATAGGAAGCGTAAAAACGTACAATTTTAGTTTACAATGAAGTTAATCCCATCAAAAACTCATTCAATGTGTGTCACTTAAAAACAATTACAGATTTTACAAATCGAATAACGAGAATGAACTAACCCCAATTCAAGCGGCCAACATGAACTAGAATAAAAATCAAACACTGGGTTATAACAAAACTAAAATGGCTAGAAAGAATAACAAAGTAAAATCAAAGCATTTAATTAACTGTATAAAAAGGGGGTTCTAACTACAAAAATGGATTATATAATAATAAAATAAAAACTAATCCAATAAAAGGAAATTAAAAAAATTAATTAAAAAATTAATGTATAATAATTAAATAAAATTGCAGATGTGGTACTTAAAGATAACATTATCATTCTAAAAGAGTTAACAACCACACATGTAAAGTTAACGTTTTTTAGACCAAAAAACACAAAATATCCAAAATTGAACCACTAATATACCACTAAATATTTTTGGAGCAAAACCACATAATTTTAATAACCACAAAAGCTATTTAAAATTTTTTTTTTTAATGTAATCATCTACTGTTGGATGTAGTTTAGATTTATTTTTGAACAACAGATTTGATGGTTAACATGTTCCTCTAAAGTTAGAAACTCTTTTGCCCAAGTTCAAATGAGTATCTACACCAAGAGACAATTACTCTACCAACTACTAGGTTAGCCCGCGAATCTGTTGGTTAATATGTTCCTCTAAAGTTAGAAACTCTTTTGCCTAAGTTCAAATGAGTATCTACACCAAGAGACAATTACCTCTACCAACTACTAGGTTAGCCCGAGTTGACTAGGTAGCTTTAATATTTTACTCATTAGCCAAGCATATACATATTGCATTTGTAATTAGCTTTGTACGCTTTCTCACTCGATTAAGTATATATAAGATGTGTTTGAAACAAAGCTTTTGAGATGTCTATTTTTTTAAAGGAAAACTTTGTTTGGTAGTAGAATATTGAGTTTTTGGCACTGTAGCACAACCAATTTGGTGACTTTGAACATTTAGTCTCTCATGTTGTTTTATGCTCAATTAGTCTGTATCGTTAGGAAATACCGGCTAATTACACCATTGGGAACCCGCTAAAAGGAACAACCGGTTGTCTTTCTTACGTGTCATTAAAATAAATAAGATATTTACCTTATCTTATCCATGTAAGAAATCGAAGTCAAAATAGTCAAATTTATTCACACACAAGTACACTCCTTCGTTCTTCATTCTTCTCATTTATCGAAAAAACTAAGGTTCCACACGTTTTCCTTCGATCGAACTCAGTGATCAGGCAACCAACCGACAATGTCAACTTCGATGCGAAACCCTAATGGACTCTACCCTGCAGTGAAGCTCAACTTCAAAGGTGTTTTTCTTCAAGATCCTTTCTCGTATAACCATGGTATCAAATTCACATTCAAAGATCATGTTTTTTTTCCTGGAATGACATACTCTGAGTGTATCACCTTTCTTGAACGGTTCATGCAAGAAAGTATCAAGAAGCTATATTACTGTGAGCTAGGTAACCCCTTAATATCTGGGATAACTGTTATTCGTAACGATGGAGATTATGATGCTTTTGGAGTCGATGGTTTTATTTCCCTATATCCGGACCATGATGGTCAAGGAATAGAGGATTGGTTTGGCTTTGAGATAGAAATAGAAGAAGAAGACGGTGATGATTCATGCATTGATGGTGGTGAAAATGAAATCAAATTTGATAACCTTAAAGATGTTGATGTGGAATTTAATGAGGATATACTCATTATGAGCAGAACATAGAGTGATGAGTTTCTGAATAAATTATATGTTGAAGAGGAAGAGAGAAATGATAACAACATAAATGATTATGGGGATGAAGATGTGGAAAATGTAACTCAACAACATTCTATTTTTAATGAGTCAATTTCATGGAAAAAACAGTACCCTATACTCGGTATGAGATTCAAAGATCCTGCTCAATTTAAATCTATGTTATGCAACTATGTTGTTGCCACTGGGTACCAACTTTTCTTTGAGAAAAAAGATAGAAAAAGATTGTTGGTTAACTTTTGTAAGGGTGCGTGCACATTCAAGTTGTGGGAATCTTGGATGAGTGATGAGGCAAGCTTCCAAAACAAGTCTTTAAAGTGAGATCACAAATGTGCAAGAAAGTACAAGTTAGGCTCAATGGTTACTTATGTTTGGATATGGAATCATTATACAAGAGAGATCTTGCTTAGACAAAAGATGAGTGTAAGAAAGCTTAGAATAGTTGTTTCATAGTAGTTTGGTATTCATGTAAGTATTGGTCAATGCAGGAGAGATACGAAATATGCATTGCAACTAGTAGATGGTATCCTTGTTAAACATTACACAAAGTTGTGGTCATATGCAGAAGAGATTAGGAGATCAAATCCAGGTAGCATTGCGAAGATTGATGTAAATTATATGCCAGAGGGAAATAACTACTTTAGTAAGTTCTATGTTTGCTTTGATGCATTGGAGAACGGGTGGAAGGAAGGATGCAGGAAGGTAATTGGTTTAGATAGTTGTTTTCTTAAAGGGATATGTAAAGGGGAATTGTTATGTGATATTGGAAGGGATGTAAGCAATGGAATTTATCCCATTACATGGGCAGTAGTGTGTGTGGAGAATAAGGAAAACTGGAAGTGGTTTTTGGATCTACTCATTGATGATTTGGAACTTAATTTAGAATATGGATACAGTGTCATATTTGATCAACACATGGTAATTTAATTCTTTATCCTTCATTTCTAATTCTAGTTGCATAATTATTTCTACATAATTTACAATTTTTAACAAGGTCTGATTGAGGCTGTCAAAGAACTCCTTCCTTATGTAGAGCATAGACAGTGTGCTAAGGATATTAGCCAAAACTTGAGAAAAAGGTATAGTGGTGTCCAATATGAAACCATATTCTAAAAGGCTTGTAAAGCAACAACTAAGGTAGATTTTAAGATTGCTATGAAAGAACTTGAAGATCTAAATCCAAGTGCTCATAAGTATCTGATGGACAAAGACCCCAAACCATGGTCAAGAGCCTAATATGAAACGGGTATATGTTATGATGCTTTGGAGAATGGAATGTCTAAAAGTTGCAATACCATGATTGTTGATGCTAGGAAGAAGCCAATTATCACCATGTTGGAGGGGTTGAGGTTGTATATGATGGATAGAGTGTTCAACATGAAAGCCAAGGGCAAAGGATGGGGCAATCAAATTTGTCCAACAATTAGAGAGTTATTGAATGAGGTTAAGAAATTCTAGAGACATTACCAAGTATTACTAAGTGTGTTAAATTGGTTTGAAGTAAGAAGAACTAGGGATGGTTATGAGGTAGATCTTTAAAAGAAAACTTGCTCATGCAGGCTATGACAACTCAATGGAATTGGTTGTGTTCATTTTGTTGCAGCAATTAGTTTTATGAATAGGGATGTGTAGTCTTATGTTGATAAAATGTTTAGTAGCATTAACTACATGAAAGCATACAAACATAGATTATCACCTATGAATGGAAGTAAGTTGTGGCCAAAATATTTGTACACACTACCTTTACCACCTGTTCATAGAAAAAATGCATGGGATATCTGCAACTAAGAGGAAAAGAGATGCAACAGAAAACCAGTCAAATAACAAACCAAATAAGAGTAGCCAAACACAAGCCAATGATCTGTAGCAGAGGGTATCCAAGGCTGGTAAGAGACAAAAATGTAGCCTTTGTAAGGTTGAAGGACACAAAAGAAGAGCTTGTCCTGCCGGTGGAAGACCTCCTAAAATCAAATCCAGGAGAAAAACAAAACAGGTAAATAATTAATTACATTATTTGTTGTGTTTTTGTTATTATTATTTTTTGCTAATGTTCTATCACATAGGTGAATGAGGGTGGTATTGAAGGAGGGCATGATGATGGTGGTGAAGGAGGGCATAATGATGGTAGTGAATGAGGTCATAATGATAGACAAGACCATGATGAGGTGGAAGTCACACCTATGGATTTTGATGCTTCTAGTAATGAAGATGCAGTCAGTGGTGTTGATGCTTACAATGTTAATGTTAATAAGGTGAAAAATGAAGTGATGGAAGGAGAAATTAGACCCCTTTTGAATAAAATCAGAAAGAAAAAGTCTGAAAGGATTATCAAGTTGAAGATGGCCAAAAGAGTTGGTGATGAAGATGCACCTGGGAATTCTAAATCAAAAGCTCTTGCCATAGATTAAGATGCACTTTAATTGTTATGAATGTTAATCTATAACTTGGTTGTTTGTGAACTTGGTTGTATGTTAGTAATTTGGTTGTAATATTTAGTTGTTTGTTGTGTTTTTATGAAGTTGGTTGTTTGTTGTAACGCCCGTAGATCCGGACTAGTCAATTTATAGACGATAAGGGTCAAAAAAATGACTTTTTGATAGAAGAGTGTTTAGAATGACTAATCGTAACCAAGTTGTAGTATATGTCACAAGGTTTCCGAATATATAAAGAACGACGAAATCCGAGTTATAACGAAGAAGTTATGACATGTCGAAGTTTCGCGACAGAACCGGCACGACACAACGCGACGTAAATAGTGAATTTACGATAGAGCGATATTTGACCTTAGCGATCTATACAAAAGTCGTAGAATATGTTAAACCGAGAACGTGCATAAAAAGAACGTCTAAATCTGACTTCGTATGAGGAGGTTATGATTTTTCTAAAGTTTCAGCTTAGCAGTATGCAATCCGAAACTCGAATTTGAGATCGAGTGATTTTTGGTTGAAGCAATCTAAACGAGAATCGAGGATCTCATTATTAGTAGTGCAATGGAGAAAAGACAGACGAAAACGGACGTCGAATGAAGAAGTTATAAACTTATAACGGAGTTTTCCTGTCTCGACCTACTAAAAATAATATAATAAAAATAAATTTGAAATCAACCAACGGAGTCTAAAGGAAAGTTGTAGAGCTTAGTCTTGCCTACGCGTGGATATAAAGAACTTCGAAAATGAAGTTTGTATGAGGAAGATATGAATTTATGAAGTTTTTTAATTAATTAAAATATATTTATTTAATTATAAAATCGGATAATACCAAACCCGTGACTCATCCGACCCTATCCACCCGGTACGCCCAGCATACCTAGATGTATGCCCAGCATACATGTCGACGAGCATTACGCCCAACGTAAATCGGGGTTTCAGCCCCTATAAATAGAAGTCAATGACAGTCGAGTTTCTTTGCTCATTTCTTACTTTCTCTCTCATTTTTGCATCGTTTTGCGTGCAAAAAATATCCCGAAATCCCGGTATCATCCCCGAGAACCGAAGTAAGTCCCGAAACCCCGAAGATCCCGAGAAGAAAGATTCTCAAGCCGAAGCTCTGCCCGCGTGAAGCCCGGTTTTGGAGGAAAACATTCTGGTTTCGTCGCAAAAGATTATTTTTAAGAGACGAGGTGTTGTCCGATCATCGTCTTATCAAGTGAGTGTATAGTTACTTTCTTCTTACACATAAATATTAAGTATTTGCTATGAAATACGTACTATATGTGTATATATTGTTGTTTATTTAAGATGATTGTGGAATGGATGAATTATATAGGTTTTAATGAGTTAAACTGTATATCTATTTTGTATCTACAAATATGTTGGGTAGAACATTGGTAGATGAGATTGTTGGTATGGGATAAAAAGGTAAAGAGATAAACTTGTTTTAGATCTTGGAGTATGAATCAGATCAGGAGGTTAGTTTTAGATCCGGGAATATGGATTAGGTATTGAGGTAAATTTTAGATCTGGAAGTATGAATCAGATCAAGAGGTTAGTTTTAGATCCGAGAATATGGATTAGGTAATGAGGTAAATTTTAGATCTGGGAGTACGGATTATGTATTTTTGAACTATGTGTTCATTCGATAAGGTATCATGTGTATAGTCCCTTTTATGGACGTGATTTTAATATGAGTATTGATTAAAGTATGAAATATATATATATATATATATATATATATATATATATATGTGTGTGTGTGTGTGTGTGTGTGTGAAATATTTGATATTGCTCAAAACATGTGTTATATGTATAATTGATGATATACAACATGCGAACCAGTTATGGTCCAATATCTGTTAAGATGTGTATATATAATATTATTACTTAAAACTTTGTGTTAAGTATACACTAGTTAGCGTTTCCTAAATGGAGATAATATCAGAAATTGATTATAAGTACTGTAGGTTTTCCTAGTGATGGGTTAAGACTTAAATGGGATGTTTAGTTCAATTAAGATTGGACTTTGGGTAGTCTCTTATTAAGAGTATGTGTGGGGTGAGATTGATGATCGGTGGAGTACGTCCTACGTATAGAAGTACATTTTATGTATGAAGTCCTTTTCAAAACTATGTGTCTTGGGTGTTGCTTGTGCCAGGGTACTATTATGTTCTCGGGTATGAGTCCTTCGCATACCAGAGTACTATAACGTGCCAGAAGTACTATCATGTACAAAGTATTTTTGATAATTTTGTGTGTCGATTACGGGAGCGTACGAGAGTACTCTAGTAGTATTTCCCCATACTTTTATTTTGAGGGGGCTTTGGAGTCAGCGTTTCTTTTATGAAGTGATTGATCGAGCTTCATATGTCAGTGTTTTCTTTCACGAACTAATTAAGGGAACTTCGTAGACTGCCTAATAAAGTGTATCGGTAATAGACCACTGCTAGGTATGTCTGGTGTTATATTGCTCGATAGGGTGCGTCTAGGGGTGAAATACCTCATGATATTCAGGCCACTGCTAGGCAAAGTTTGATGTTGGGATAGGTAGAGTCTGGGGGTATAATACCTCATGATATTCGGGCCACGCCTAGGCATTGTTATCTAGATAACTACCCCTGAATTAAAATGTCTTGTGGTTCTTACTTTTACGAACAAAGGTTCATGGTGAAACTTATTCCATTCCCCTCATTTGATGTCTTTATTGATCCTCGTTTGCTGCTAGGGAATTTCCAAAGCAACTTCGTTAGTTTGTGGTTCATATCGATTCCTTAGGCTAGATCTCGTAAGATCATTGTATAGGGTCAGTATGTGGGGATCGACAGGATAGGATATATTGTTTGAGAAGTATGATTCATATGTGTTTATAATATTAGTGGTTTTGCAGGATCGAGATATACTTTATTATCACATTGTTTAAACTAAGAGGTTTCGTACTTTGTGTTCCTTAGGTGATTCGGTTCACCAGGAATATTCGAACTAAGTGTTCATTAGATATTTGAACTTAGTGTTCATTAGGGATATTTGAACTAAATGTTCATTAAGTGTTTGTGAACTAGGTGTTCATTAATTATTGTGAACTGCGTGTTCACCAAAGGTAATCTAAGAACCTTGGCAGCACTAGACTTTGTGCCAGTTCCTTAGGGCAATCCTTAGGAATGAATAGGAGAAGGGTAATCGGTTCTTAGGATAAATCTTTTAGAAATAAATGGAGACGATGGGGGTGGGTAATTGGATTGATTGTATGATAATTGAATATAATAATTATATTATTGTGGGTTGAAAACCCTATATGCTCACCAGGCTCCCAAGCCTGACCCTCTCAGTTTTATTTGTATTACAGGTTATTGCACGAGAGCATAAGTTGGTTGACATAACTAGAGATTTTGGATTATAGGCTAGTAGTTATGAATAACCGTTGTAAGGTCTATTTTTTTCTATTTATGCTTTTGGTTTGTATTGAACATGACATCCCGAGATTTTGTTATATAATGAAAATACATTTCTTTAAAGAAATGCTTTGATAAATTCTTATCACAATTTTTGTTTTCTTAACAAATTCCACTACTATTTTCTTTAGAAGATTACTTTTATTTTAAAAACAAAGCATAAACAAATCGGGCTTTTCTGGCTGTGAAATTGGGGATGTCACATTTGTTAATAAGTTGAATGCATGGCAAGGGAATATGAGGTTAAAATGCATGGCAAGGAACTCAATTCAATTATAAAATGGCGACCACATGGTGCACATAAGGGACCACCACTGTAAAAACTCAATTCAATTTAAAATGGACCAAGTGTGCTCCATATGCCCGACAATGTGGTTCCCACAATTTAATTTTAAATGGACCACATACATTCATTCATTTGTGGGATCTTTCATACATACACATACAAAACCTAAAAAAATATTGTCACCTAAAATCTATATCTACCTTACATTCACATATATTGATCATGTACATATCTATCCAAAACCCAAAAAAAAACTTTCTACTTTGATGACCATCTACATATACACTACACAACAGACTGGTTGGAATTATAAATCATCAACCATCAACCATCAGGTGCACTTCAAGCACATTTCAACCACATCCCAATGACCAAGAATAGGATCAAACACTTAGCAGTTCCTAGGTAAGACTTCATCAGACTGTTTTTCTTCTTCACCTCCATCAACTCCCTGTTACAAGCTTCCTTCTCAGCTTCCCTTTCTTTCTGCAACTTAACCAATTTCTTTTGTTCCTTGGCAATCTCACTGTGGTCTTCCGTTCTTCGTAACTTAAACCTCATCTTATGAAGTTGGTCTTTGTAATACCCCTCCTCCAGTTCATCGTCTTTCTACAGAAAATTTTACATTTTGGACCTTTAGCTAACTGATTACAAAGGAAGAACAAAATTAGGGTTATGATTAGGGAAAATGTGTATATTTTCTAGTTACGGAGAACAAATGGAGTGTAAGTAAAGAAAATGAATACTCACCAAGGAATTTTTGCAGTTCCAAAACCTTCGGGCTACATTATCATCAATCCACGAAGTCGTTTCCACGCCTATCCCCATCCTTACAGTCACATGGGGGACATGTTGCATCATCGTCATGGTGTAAAGGACGACGACTGTTGATGGATCGAGCAGAAAAGGCATACATGGCTTTGATTTGAACGATGGAGAAGAGGTATCGGGAGGGAGGGAATGAACTATTTTGGGGGTAACAATGTATCACTTCTGGTTCAATAGAGGGTACCATTTGAGGAAGGTATGACATCGTATCCAGTGACGTGGTAAGGCATAAGTAGGGATAAGCTTTAGAACCGAAACTGATTTTCCTATATTATAAGAACCGGGAACCGGACCGCCGATTCTAGCGCCGGTTCCGGTTCCGATCTCGGTTTTTCGGTTATTTTTCAAACTAGAATCGGTTGAAATATTATATATGATATGTTATCTTCCAGTGATTGTAAATGATTCAATATTTAACGAAATTATGACTTTTTACATTCTAAATTGAAATACAAACACTAAATTACACGATAAAAATAATCAAATAGTTCCGACTTCATATGAGTGAGTTATGCGCATTTTAAAAGGGGGACAAATTTCAAAAAAAAAATGTTGAAACAGAAAATATGCAACATTGATATGTTGTCTTCCGAGTTCTATAACTCATTCAATATCTAACCAAAATATATGTCTTTATAGTCTAAATTGAACTACAAACACCAAATTACATACTGGAAAAAAAAATTAAGTAATTTTGACGTCATATGAATAAATTATGCTCATTTAAAAAATATGACAGATTCAAAAAAACAAAAAAAAAAATGTTGAAATAGAAAAAACTCAACATCGATATTCTTTCTTTCGGGGCATGTGTCTGATTCAATATCTAACCAAAACATATGGTTGTACAGTCAGAAATGAATTACAAACTCCAAATTACATGTTGAAAAAAAAATCAAATAATTCCGAATTTATATGAGTGAGTTACGCGCACTTTAAAAAAACAAGAAAAATATCAAACCGGTTCTGGTTTTTAGAACCGGAACCAATTTTTATAAAAATAGAGAATCGGTAACCGAAATTTGTTACAATTCCGGTTCCGGTGGTTCTAATGCTCATCCCTAGGTATAAGTCCACACATGTGAAGACACGTCAGCATATAGTCTGTTAACTGGATACAATTTCCACCAAGGGTGTAATTAGCCGATATTTCATGACGATAAGGACTAACTAAGCATAAAACATACATGAGTAACTAAATGTGCACAGTCACCAAACTCTGTTGTATTACAGTGCCAAAAACCCTAGAATATTTTAGTTTTTATTTTAAACAAAATAACGTTAATCCAAAAGCTATTATTTGTTGGTGATTTTAGTATCACCATGTCATTTTAAGTAACTTGAACCAACATGTGAGCTAAGAGGCTTCATAATTTGTACTCTAATATATGTATGGGGTTGTGCAGAGTGCACGCATATATAAGATCGAATAGAAGCCGGTTCGATGACTAGTCGGGGGTCCGGGGGGCAGCACCCCTTTGGTGGGGTCTAGGGGCAGCGCTCCTAGCGGGGTCCAAGGGGCAGAGCCCCTGGCTGGGGTCCCGCTTTAGTAACCCTAAACTCGTTAGTGGAAAATAATGGAAAATTTTACATACAAGAACATAGTGGAAAATTAAATTTCTTGAGGGTGATTATGGTAAAACTAACGAAACTCATTAGTTTTTGGTAACCCTAAATCCTCATTAAATCCGGATTAACATTACTTGCATTCCAAGGCAACTAATGACGGCCCAACCCTAATAAAACACTAATCTCGTTTAATATATAAACAATTATTCATCTTCAGAAGGGGGTCACGATCTTAAGCTCTCCTTTTCATCATACTTTTACAGAATCATCTAACATATTGGCTTACAATTTCTGTGTCTAGAATCATAAGTGTTCACTTGGATTATCCTAGGCTGAATTTTTTGTAACACAGACATACGGTAGAAATATCAGTTCGGAAATTAATATCACGATCCAAATTGGTATCCAGATCTCCATCACAAACCCTATATTTCCCCACATTACTTGCTTTTGATAACTTTTAGCTTTTGATTTTTATTTATTTTTTGTTAGCGAGAGCAATATGTAAAATTAGATAAGATTTGTTAATTATAGTAAAGATATTATTAGATCCTAGAATTAAGGCCCAAGGAAAATTAGGTCGTAATTAGTTCCCTGTATAAATTCATGTATTTTGCCTGTAAAGATATTAGAAAAATTGGAAGATCCTTCCTCCATATACACTCTGTTATCAATCTTTATGGTATCAAAGCCTTCCAAAGAGTACAAAACTTGATCTGAATCCCTCGAATCGAAGATCTACGAATGGGCGACAAAGAAAACTCTTCTAACTCAAACCCGGTGATCGTCCAAAATGTTTAGGACGCACCATTCCCTACCGGAATTACCCTCGACGATACGAACTACCCGTTGTGGTCTCGGTTAATGAAGATGCGCATTGGGGCACGTAACAAGTCCGGTTTTATCACCGGAAAAACACCGAAGCCAACCAACGACGATGAAAAACAACTCGAATCTTGGCTGATCGACAACAATCGTGTCAAGAGCTAGCTGATTGATTCCATGAACCCGTCTTCGATCCACCACTTTATCTGACTTTAGACGGCGGCTGAAATCTGGGAGGCCGTCGGGAAAACATTCTACGACGGAAGCGATAAAACTCAGCTATTTGAATTGAACAGTCGGTCTTTTAACACACGACATAATGGGTGTGCGTTACCCACATACTACAACGAATTGGTGAGCATCTTCCAAGAAATTGATACCCGAATTACTACGCAAGAAGAGATTGTCAATGGCACTGTGTCTGAAAATAAGACGATGACTCGTCTCCGTGTACACATTTTTTTGGCTGGGTTGGACCCCGAGTTTAACCTAGCTAGAAGTGAAATCCTAAGGAAATACCCACCCATGAGTTTGGAGTCTTGCTACGCTTACATTCGAAGAGACTCCAGCCAAAGACAAACTGTGGAAGAACCAAAAGTTGAACCTGATAGCCTGGTGCATATGGTCTCACGCAATGGCCCTTCAAAGGGAAAGAACTCGAATGGGAAGAAAAACTCGTTTACATGTACTCACTGTGGAGAAGAAGGCCACTCAAAGCAAAGGTGTTACGAGATCATAGGCTATCCAGAATGGTGGGACTTCATGAAGAAACCTAGAAAGAAGCTAAGTCAAGCTACAGTTGTCACCTCTGCTCAAGAAACTCCGATGGCTGCACACACCAGTACGACTGACTCCGGTAAGTCTTGTCAAAACCAAACAAAAAATAGCAATTGGATAATTAACATAGGTGTTACTGACCACATGATAAATGATAAAAACCTTTTGACAACTTTACATGCACCTAAACAAAGTAAAATACATACTGCGAGTGGGGAACTTGAAAAAGTGACATATGAAGGGGCGGTACAGGTGTCGAGTTCTATGAACCTGGAATCATTTCTTGTAGTTCCATCTTTTTCTTCTAACCTACTCTCAGTTAGCCAAATCACAGAAGCATTGAATTGTTATGTAACTTTCTGGCCAAATGATTATGTGTTTCAGGACATAGAGACACACAAGATTCTTGGCTATGGTACTAGAAGGGGGCGGTTGTATTATCTTGAAGAGAATCATCAGAGTCAGGCATTTCATACCGGAGTAAAGAAGGCGAATAAGTCTATGGCAATGTTATGGCACTGTTGTCTAGGACATTTATCTTTTATTTATTTGAAAAAGTTGAAACCGAATTTATTTTTGAATCTTCATGAAAGTGATTTTAAATGTGGTATTTGTGAATTGGCAAAGAACACGAGAATTTCGTACACTCCTACTGATAATAAAGTCTTTGTTCCTTTTTTTTAAAAATACATTCAGATGTATGGGGGCCTGCCCCAATCTCCACTCCCAGTGGAGCTCGTTATTTTGTGACTTTTGTTGATGAGTGTACTAGGATGATTTGGATTTCTTTGCTGAAAAATAAAAGGGATGTACTGTTTGCATTCAAAGAACTACATCACCTGATCAAGACTGAATATAAGAGAGATATCCAAATATTACAGTTTGATAATGGAGGTGAGTACATAAATCATGCCATGACATGTTTTTGCCAAGAAAACTCTATCCGGCATCAGACTTCTTGTGCCGGAACCCCCCAGCAAAATGGATTGGCTGAACGAAGAAATAGACAAATTCTTGAAATTGTACGGGCCTCTTTGTTCGATACGAACGTACCGTGAAATTTATGGGGTGAAGCAATTCGATCCGCAGCATATCTCATGAATAGAATGCCTTCTCGTGTTATTGGCTTTTCCACACCCTTGGAAAAACTTCAAGAGCTTGTACAACAACCTATTAATCCTGGACTTGAGCCACGGATATTTGGGTGTACAACATATGTTCATCAAAATATAAGGAAACTTGAACCAAGGGCTGTGAGATGCATGTTCATAGGATACGCTACTCATAAAAAGGGTTATCGGTGCTACAATCCCATCGAAAATAAGATATATGTATCCCGTGATGTATCGTTTCATGAAACCTTGCAGTTCTTCCAAGATGAGAGTTTACTTCAGGGGGAGAAAAACAAAGAAGTAAACTCTCTTGACACTGAAGTGGGTGAAATTAATACTCATGATCAAGATACCAATCATCAAGATGAACCGGACCCCGAAGTAGAGATCGAACCGGAACATGATGACGATGATACTATTCATGGGTTGGATCAAACTAACAATCTAACTAATAATGAAAGTGTTACGTCTGATGTTGTGCAGTAAAATGAATCACAGGCCCAAGAACATGCAGTCCAAGATCAGGAAAACGAATCACAAGCCCAAGAACATGCAATCCAAGATCAGGTACCCACTGGTGGTAACTTTGAATCACGTTTTCCCGTAAGAAGTACTCGAGGAATTTCGAAGACGCAATACCAAGCTGAATTGAAGGCAAAAGCTAAGTACCCTATTGGTAATTATGTCTCACAACATCGCTTAGCTAGCTCCAACATGGAGATAATTAATGGGTTGTCTACCGTTTTGATATTGTGGGACGTGCATGAAGCTATGAAAGATGAAAGATGGAAGAAGGCAATCATGGAAGAGATAGATGCTCTAATAAAAACGCATACGTGGGAGGTTGTAACGCTACCTGATGGAAAGAAAGTAGTAGGGTGCAGATGGATATTTACTGTGAAGTTAGATTCAAGTGGAAACATCGATCGGTTCAAGGCAAGACTCGTGGCAAAAGGGTACACACAGAAATACGAAATTGACTACGGAGATACCTTTGCCCCCGTGGCAAAGATGACTACAATAAGAGTGCTATTTTCCATAGCGGCTAACGAAAACTGGCCCTTGAGACAATTGGATGTAGAAAACGCATTTCTAAATGGGTATCTAGAAGAAGAAGTCTACATGGAGGCTCTACCAGGTATGAATTTTAATGGGAAAGTTTGTAAGCTAAAAAAGGCGTTGTATGGTATGAAGCAATCACCTCGAGCTTGGTTTGGTAGATTCTCGGCATTCATGAAGAAGATTGGATACAAACAAAGTGATGCAGACCATACCTTGTCTGTCAAAAATAAAAACAAGAAAATCGCAGCTCTTGTAGTGTACGTTGATGATATGGTAGTAACAGGTAATGATGATGAAGAAATAGCTAAACTTCAAGCAATACTTGCCACTGAATTTGAATTAAAGGATTTGGGTGAGCTTAAGTATTTCTTGGGTATTGAAGTATCAAGGTCAAAAACTAGGATCAATATGTGCTAGCGGAAATATATTCTAGACTTGTTAGCAGAAACTGGAATGCTTGATTGTAAGCCTATTGACACACCGATTGAAACAAATCATCGACTAGCCATATTACCAGATCAAGTCTCAACCAATAAAGAGAGATACCAAAAGCTTGTTGGAAAACTTATTTACTTGTCGCATACAAGGCCTGACATTGCATATGCTGTGAGTGTTGTCAGCAGATTCATGCATGCTCCTAGTGAAGAACATATGAAGGCAGTATATCGAATTCTTAGATATCTTAAAGCTACTCCTAGGAAAGGGTTGTTTTTTGGGAAGAATCAAGACCGCAGCTTGAAAGGATACACTGATGCAGATTGGGCAGGTGACCGAACAGATGGTAAATCTACTTCAGGGTATTTTACTTTTGTTGGAGGTAATTTGGTTACTTGGAGAAGTAAGAAACAAAAGGTGGTCTCAAGATCAAGTGCAGAAGCTGAGTATAGAGGAATGGTGAATGGTATATGCGAACTACTGTGGATAAAGCGAATTCTTCGAGATATTGGTGTATCTCTAATGAGCCCTATTAAACTTTACTGTGATAACGAATCAGCTGTGAAGATAGCAAATAATCTTGTTCAACATGACAAGACTAAGCATGTTGAAATAGATAGGCATTTCTTGAAAGATGACCTGGAGCGAAAAACAATAGAATTACCACATGTAAGCTCAGAAGATCAACTGGCGGATATGTTAACGAAAGCAGTATGTGGGAGAGTGCTTGAGTGCTCTCTCGACAAGCTGGGAATGTTGGATATACATTCTCCACCTTGAGGGGGAGTGTTAGCGAGAGCAATATGTAAAATTAGATAAGATTTGTTAATTATAGTAAAGATATTATTAGATCCTAGAATTAAGTCCCAAGGAAAAATAAGTCGTAATTAGTTCCCTCTATAAATTCATGTATTTTGCCTGTAAAGATATTAGAAAAATTGGAAGATCCTTCCTCCATATACACTCTGTTATCGATCTTTATTTTTTACATTTAATAGCTTACCATTTATTAGAAATATGGTTTAGTGGTACTTGGAAATCTGAGAATCATGATAATCACTTTCAAATCAAAGTATTTGGGTGGTACTCTCAAATCCTCAATTGGATAAGACTCAGATAAAATCAAAGAGAAAGAAAGAGAGAATGAGATGGTGTAATTTTCGTGAGTACCAGAAAACTGACTAAAAATTGGTTATATACATTCCTTGTCTGAAAAACTATCAAAACTGTCATATAACAGTTTTTCTTAACTGTCAAAACTGTTATAAATCTGGGTTTGGTATAAGGATTAATGCAAAGTCAAAACCGGGTCAAATATTCAAAATTTAGATTTTCTGCCCCTTGGACCCCGCCAAGGGTTGCCGCCCCTTGGACCCCGCTCCCAGGGGCGCTGCCCCCGGACCCCCGTTCGTTCAGGGGTTTCGCCATTAAATCACAGTGTACTTTGATACTTGATCAAACTTAAACAAGTGTGTACTCCACACCTTCCTTACTTGTTTAATATTTATCAAGATCAATTTTAGTCAACAAAGTAATCCCATTACACTTAAATAACATTGATGATAACAAATCACCAACACCATTTTGGCCGAACAACTACATATACCAACTAATTTTCCAAAATATACATAATTGCTTAAACGATACAAAAGCGTTTGGAATATATTCAAAATGGAGAGACTTGATCTGTAAGTCTTCCATAAATCAATATATTCAAATATCGATCGATGTGTCTTCTGTCTTTTTTCTCAAGGTACTCAATGTACGATTACATACTTGATACTACATAAACTTTCTAGAATCAAATGTGATATATCTGTGATAATAAAAGCATAAGTCAATTAATTGTTTCATAGATTTGATTTATTGATCAACCTTTAATGAGCACCACGTATAGTGTGGGAGGCAGACCACACTACTCAAGTGCATGTGGGTATACCCATGGAGAATAGCTGCAATCCATACAGTACAATGTTTACTTTCACTTTTTTATTTTTTTGCTATGTGCTTCATGGCTTTATATAAATTCATTTATCAATCAAAAGATTTTTATTAATTTATATAAAAATTATTTATGATTGTTGTTCAAAATAGGCTCACAATGAGCAAGAAAAACCGTATAAGCATTAAGTTAACCATCATAAATGGGACACAATCTAGTGATGTAAAAAAAAAGTGTACAAAAAAATCAAACAACCAATAACTTTAAAAAAAAAAAAAAAAGTTAGTAGTACATTTTTATGATAAACAGCATTGAATATAAAAACTTTTTTTTTCTAAAATCTGACCTATTCTTAAATACCAAAAACATATTTCAAACACTATTATTGCATTTTTGCTATATTTAATCATCTAATTTTTAAGTGCTTTACATAAAGAGATTCAAAGACAATCATTTAATGCAAGACCAACCCCCATCATCTTCCCCAATAAATTTCTGTAGAAAAACACACCCAACTCCAAGAACAACCCCAAAGAAATGGAGGAAAAAACTAAACTTTTATTACTTTCTTTACTCTTTCTACTTGCAGTTCACGGCGGCGCCGGAGGTTATGTTGGTGGTGGAAGAACCACCAGAAACGGGTGGTCAAACTCAAACACATCGACTCTCAACAATGCTTACATTGCCCTCCAAGCATGGAAGTCAGCCATCAAAGATGACCCTAAAGGAATCTTGAACTCATGGGTCGGGTCAAATGTGTGTGATTACAAAGGAGTTTTCTGTCAAGATTCATCAGTTACAGGGATAGACCTTAACCATGGTGGGCTCGAGGGTATTCTCGTAAAAGAACTTTCCCTCCTCAAAGACATCACTCTCCTCCACCTCAACAGTAATAGCTTCACAGGCACAATCCCAGATAGCTTAAAAGACCTTTTTGCCCTCACTGAACTTGACCTCAGCAATAACCAATTCTCCGGACCTTTCCCTACGATAATCCTCCAAATCCCAAATCTGGTGTATCTAGACCTCAGATTCAATCTTTTTTCAGGACCCATTCCAGACCTTGTATTCACCAAGAATCTTGACGCAATTCTACTCAACAACAACAATTTCGAAGGTCAAATCCCACAAAGTCTAGGCAATTCCCCTGCTTCGGTAATCAATTTAGCCAATAACAAGTTGACAGGTGACATTCCGATTAGCTTCGGGTATTCTAGTTCAGGATTGAAAGAAATCCTGTTCTTGAACAACCAATTGAGCGGTTGTATCCCTCAAGGAATCGGAATGTGGTCAGATTTACAAGTTTTTGATGCGAGTTTCAATTCATTGATGGGTCATATCCCTGATTCGATTTCTTGTTTGGAAGATATTGAAGTGTTGAATGTTGCACACAATGAGTTGTCGGGTGAGTTGCCGGATCTGGTTTGTGGGTTGAAATCGTTGATGAATTTGAGTGTTGCTTATAATTTCTTTTCTGGGTTTAGTCAAGAATGTGGGAAATTGTATGGTAGGAATGTGGGATTCGATTTTGCATTGAATTGTATTCCAGGGAGGGAGATGCAGAGGCCTGAGCCAGAGTGTGATATGATCCCCGGTGGTAGTTTGAGTTGTCTTAGAATCCCATCTATGAAGTCTTTTTCTTGTGGGGCATCGTTTAGATCTTCGAATTCGCCAATCCCATGAGGATAAATATTAAGATTTTGTATTGGAATAGAGAAATTATGTTGCAAATTGATTATTGTATTGAGTTTTGACATGAACTCACAAAGTGAGATCGGAAAGTTATGGGTTATTCTCAGTTTTCTCTTTGCACGGATATAAGCATGGATTTCATATTCATATTGGCTTTTAATTTGTTTCCACCGTTTCGGTTTCATATGGATATATTACATACAAAGTTTATCGTTTTTACTTTTTAGTGTCTTTGGCTTTTGGGTTTACCAAGATGAAAAGAAATATGCCAATGTATGTTAAATATAAGGCAAAAAAATGATTACTATACTATTTTAATGTTAAGACATGGTTTAGATCAATAATGACCATAAAAGCGAGCATGTTTGTGAATTACAAAGTCCAAAACTATAATGACCTTATTACCTTAGGGGTGTTTGGATAGAAAAAAAAAAAAAAAAAGTATTTAATGCTTATTTCCACAATAAGCTAACTTTGAATGTTTGGATAAAATTCAGTTTATTAAGCTAAATAAGCTAATTTTAATAAACATTTCTCCTAATACTTATTATTTATTGTTTATTCTCACCACAAATAAGCTAATCCAAACACCCCCTTGGTATAACTCTTATTTTATGGCTTTAACAAAATGAACATTTAATCCTCAAAAGAATTAGCTTTTTGCATAGCAATTTATATCCCCTACAGATTTAGTCTTCAAAAGAATTAGTTTTACCATACAAAAATGTTTAACGACGTAACTTTTTGTCAAATATCAAAGCTATTCATGGTGTCTATGGGGGTTTTGGCTATAATATTAAACGATTGAAGAATAAACGAGTGTGGTCCTCGATAGTCGGTTCTATTAACCAACTTACGAAAAAAAAATAATAAAAAAAAAATAATACACGATTCCGCATACAATTTTGAAAAAAAAAAATGCATTGGAGATAGAACATTGACCAAGATTTGGACAGAATTTTGGCTTGGGGAAGACTTGCTTGTTTTTGCTAGAAATAAACCAAGAGTGTAGGGTTAAAGATTGTCGAGGTTCTGATGGTTGAATTTAGGGATGGAGGTGGACCATACAATGTGGAGCCAAGAACCAATAGCTTTTGGCTCTTCTTCGGCTCCCGAAATCGTTTGTATTATTGGAGAAAAAAGGACTCGTGGAGTAGAGTGTTGGCCCACATTGAAAAGTACACAATTGCAGTAGTCAGAAATAAGATAAATGATCAGATTTTGGGATGTCTTATGTGTGATTCCGAATCGAAATAGTCGTTTCACGTTTTCTTGGCCCATGTAGTTGCTTCACAACCGTGGGGTGTGTTTTTAGATGGAGTAACCTTTCTTTTACGTGTTTCTCTTTGAACAAAGATCATTTTAATCAAGTTGACTCGTTGAAGGTCTTCCACACTAAAAAAAAAAGTGTTATTGAAGCAATTACAATGCCTATGTGGTGGGTTATCTGGAACTACCGCAACTCCCTTATCTTTGGATCGAAGACTACTAGGAAAGAAACATTATTTGGTAGTATTGTAACGAGTTTTTATAATGCATTTAATTTTAGATTTGGTAAGTGAAAGTTAGTAAGGTCTGTTGGATTCAAAACCTAGTCTTCGCAATTAATTGTAAGCTTTCTAGCTTCTTGCTAACTTCTAATAATATTAAGCCTTTAAAAAAAAACGTATCACAGGTCCACACTTTTCAAAAGTTCATTTTCATCGACATCATTGTTTGCCATCTCTTTCACCGCAAAAAAAATGAGCAAAAGTCATCATTTTTGTTTGTGCATGTGGATCGCCGGTTGATAAAAATGAATGTGATGCAAGCAAGTAATCGTTAAACATTTGTTCTTATTGTAGTAGCATAATTGTTAGTTGAACACATTTGGAAGTGGACTTTAGCATTTAATGTTATTTTGTTTTGGTTATTTGGGTTTCATAAATATAAAATACCATTTCCTTCACTAAAATTGAGCTAGTGTTAAGGGAATCAATGCCAACATGATGATGAACCCCTTCCAAATGGTTCATGTTGGTTCGTGAGACCCGCACAACTATCCATTAACCATGCATGAATGTTTTAAATTATTCACATTAACGTTGTTGCAATGGTATGAGTGCGAATATGCAATTGTATTTTCGTGTGATTCGATATATATCATCACTGTCTAAAATTGTCATTTGATCAATGGTTATTACCTGTCCTTATTGACTATCAATGTGAAAGTGCTAATTACGAATGAAATAAAGGAAAGGTTGTCTCCTACTCATCCATACGATGTTGATTTCAATGATTCATCATTAACATGACCATGGTGCATTGTAGTTTCTAGCTAGAGGATACAAACTACATTTTGGACATGAAGTATCCCCCTTGTTTGGTTTTTCGGTTTTAGTTTTTTATTACACCCATAGTTCGAGCTCATCTTTGCAAGAGAAGATGTTGACCCCACTTGTATTGAGAAGCCCCTCACAGCAGTCAATACCAAGTAAAAAGGGTTATAATATAGACCATTCAGTCTACCATTGCATGAATACCAACGAAAGGGTCGAGAAGATGTAATTGGCACCCTTACTTGTCCAATGGCATATGAGTTATGAGTGGGGAAGAGTACAACTACAGAATTGTGAAAGAGGATTAAACAAGAGGTCAAGAATTGTGAAGGGGATATGATCTTCTGTATGAAATCTTCTATACAGAAGAGAGTCTAAAACTAGCACATGCATTATAGAAAGACAACACAAATGAGCTACCATAATCCATCAAAAGACAAAATGTAATAGATTCAAGGAAAATGTAAATTACTAGAATCCAAACAAAAGTAGCAAGGATAAAAATAAAAACTAAAACTCTGCCAGTTGTTTCAAAAAGGTTGAATTTTGATGAAATCAATCTTCATCATCGATGACCTTAGTGCCTAGTCCCTTCAACCCCTCTGCTGGGATCTCTGCAACAGTGACAAGCGAGTAAAGTTCTTCCTTTGCATCTTCATCATCGTTCCTCTTGCGGGCAATACGAACCCTAACCCTCCTGGGTACACTTCTGATTCCTCGGCTCCAGACATACTTGTTTAGCTTCACATCCACCCTAACATCTGTTGTCCCCATGGCCTTCTGTGCAAACTTCCTGATCTCCTTAATGGCTTTAGGAGCCTTCTTCTTGAATGTGCTGTTGATCAACACAGATAGAAAATTTTACATACAGGGTAGCAAATAATGTACAATCAAGGTCGAGCATAAACGCGATCGGATCATATAGATGTTTGCAAAGATAAGGCTTCGCAACAAAAGTTCAATCGAGGTGAACAAGCATATATGGATAATCTATAAGAATGAAACAAGTATGTACCATCCATGGAGGCGCTTGTGGAGGTTGATTGTGTACTCCCTGGTAACAACCTCTTCTTTTCTTCCTTTAGTTTTGTCCACCATTTTTACTATCGTATCTGCACCTTACCTGCAGACGCTCATACAAACAAGGAATCAACACAACATATCAGTAAAAAATCCCATCACAACATCATAATTCTTAAATCAGGCAACATGTAAGAAGTTCGAGCAACAGAGATGACAGAGATCGAACCTGCGATTTGGGAGATGAGAAGACGGAAACAGAGGCGCAGAAATGAAGAGATGAGGGCAATAAAACCCTGATATTGATGTGCTAGGGTTTCTTTGTTTTGTGGGCTTGGCCCAGAGACTGTATTGAGTCATCGTTGAAACTAACGGAAGGCCCAATTCTAAAAAGGTTTTTTCTATGGCCACGAGAATTCGAGACTGGTAAAGAATTAATATATATTCTTTGTGTTTGGATCGATTCATTTAAAAAAAAATGTATTTTATGTTTTATAAATGATTATATAACTTTAATATTATAATAATGATGACATATTTTTGGATGTTGTACAGATTAAAAATACGGATGATTTTCGATTAACCTATTTGTTTCTATTTTAATTTGATTTCTTAATTTAATTTATTTAACTTACATTCACTATTTCGGTAAGAAAACGGGTCTTCTTGCGGTTTCTACTAATTCATATAAATAGATGTTTACCTACATGTAAATGGGTTTTTTAATTTGATTTCTTAATTCAATTTATTTAACTTACAAGTTATTTATGTATCAAATAAATCTTAAATTGTATTCGTTTCGTCTGTATTTTAGACATATCTATATGTAAATAATTAAAACAATCTCCTAAAATTTTGATGACACCAATAAGACTTGAAGAATAAATATTAAACCTAGGTTTCAAGTCTTACTCACAATGGTTCTAACGTTTTTTTTTTTTTAATTATGAGGTAATGTATTTTTAATAAATAACCAAGATGTTATACTATTATTTTTTTATGGATATATCATAACTAACTTTAAGGTCTTATACTATTATTTTTATATCATTATTTTTTGTCGGTTCAGCAGAGTAAGGTTTGGTAGTCACCGTCTCATAGGTGACATGAGTTCGAATCTTAGGAGTTTGAAACATGGTTCACCATGAGTTTGTGATTGTGACGCAATTCTGAATAAAATTGCTTAGCACATCGCCTATGGTAAATTCATATCCCTTGTATTCTTTGTAAATCGGGAAAGTTGTAGTGAGCACATAGTTCACCATTTTACCCTTCCCATATCTGACCCAACAACTCTTGGCCCAACTCCCAAAGACCCAAAAAGAGGGTTTCACGAGTACGCCCCACGTACAGGACTCATACGCCTCGTATACTACACGTTGATGCCTAATGTATAATCTGTCACAACATGATATCAGGGAAAACATGCATTACGTTGAGCGTACGCATATGTATGCCCAGCATACCCTATTGGTGACCATTTTCTCATTTTAGGACTTATTGCTTAAGACCAAAACGTCCAAACTCAAATCTAATCTCAAAAAATCAACTTAAGTCATAAAGTTTCCACCTTTATGACTTTACATGGTTAGAAAAGGTCCAAAAGCTAAAACCCTAACTTATTTATCCATTAACACATCTTAACTCTTACATGGAAGGGATAGGAGGTCCAAGATCATATTTTTATGTTTCCTAATAACTCCATAATGGATAAATTTTCAACTTTATCCATTAGAATGGTCCAAACAACCAAGATCTAGTCCTTAAGTCTTCAAGGGACCAAAAGGGCATCTTTTTTCAACTTAATCCATTATGTCCAAGTCTCTAACATTCAGATCTGAATCAATATGATGTTTAGATGGATAATGTTTCCAATTTTATCCATAACAAGGTCACAAAATTTCAAGATCTAGACTTTATGTACCAAAGTGGCCAAAAGCTCATAACACCCAAAACTAGCTAGATTTAACAAATGCATCATCAAGATTCAAGTTGTATACCTTTAGAAGAACGATCAAGGTGAACAAATTCTGGATCTACAAGATCCAATTCAACCAACACTTTTCTAATGAGCTCCTTCTTCTCCTGAGCTCTTTCTTCTTCAAGATGCACCAAGAACACTCTAAAGCACTTAAAACACCTTATTTTTGCTCACAAGGCTCGAACTAAGGTCAAGGTTTCAAAGGAGGGTGTTGGAGAGGTGGAGGTTGAGAATAGAATGAGTTTGGGAAAGTTAAGGAGCTTAAATAGGGTTCAAACCATGAAAATAGGTTTTGGGCACTGACCGTGTATGCCCAACATACTTCTAGTACACCCAACATACTTATGGATACCTTAGTACGCATAATGTACTTCCCCTATACGCCCAACTTATGCGGCTTAACCCAAAACCTCCCTAACTTCAAACACTCATAACTTCTTCTGTGACATCCTTATTTTCACGGCCAGAAAAGACCGATTTTGTTTATGCTTTATAAAAATCAGAGTATCTCTTTTAATAAAAATGTTGTGGAATTTGTTCCCAGTAAAACATGATAAATACGTTATCAAAGCATTTCCGAAGAAAAGTAATTTTATTCATTTTAAAACATTTGGGATGTCATCGTCAATACAGAAACATAAGCATAAACATAACTTACATTCATTATCACTAGTGATTTATATCTCCTTAATCTCTCAGTGTAATGTGACTTCATATCAATATTTGTGATATGATTAAACTGAGTGGGTCAGGTTGGGAAATTTGGTGAGTACATAGGGTTTTCAACCCATAATGATATAATTATTATGTTTAATCATCAAACAGTTAACCCAATTATCCATCCCCATTATCTTCTTTACTCGTAAGGATCTACTCTAAGGATCAGCTATTTCTCATTCATTCATTCCTAAGGATTATCCTAAGGAATAGGTACGAAGTCTATCGTTGTCAATGACACAGTTTTCAAGCACAGCTTCTAGTTTTATCACTTATGCGTAGCTATAAGAATTGTGACATTCTCTTTAAGGTGCATCTGTCGGTATTGTCCTTCGAGCACAGCTGCTAACGTTATCTCGTTTATCGACAATATCGTTTTCGAGAGTCCACTCACAATACACGTCAGTGGGTTTTTAGAGTACACGGTGAACACATCAATCACAATACCTATATGTTGCGAGCCTGCTAGTGTTCCACTGAACTGTCTAGAATAGTCCGTGGTTGTCATCCATACTATACTAGATGACGGGGTCAACATTTAGGAATAAGGCTTCTCACATTGTCCACCTCTCACCCTTACCTCATGGTCTATATTGATGGGTTTTGGTCATAAGACATCCTATGTGCTCATACAAACCCTAATGCTCGGATCTAGGTTTCTCTATTGTACATGCAAGTTATCCAAGACTATAAACCCTAATACTAGCATTCAAGTGATCATATTAACATAAAAATAGGTTTATAATGTTACCTTGATTCTTATGTAGCAATAACAATCCTAATTCCTCCTTGAATTGACTTTGGAAGGCCTAGAGTCACAAGTGTCACTCCTCTAATGGCTTACAAACACCAAGAGCAAATGGAGAAGTTATAAAGAGAGAGAGAGGAAAGGTATAAGAATTCGTCTCTAGGACCTCTTGGGAATGGATACACGAATTCATGAGCCTCAGGGGGTTTATATAGGTGTAAAGATTAGGGTTTTAGTCATTATCCTTATCTAGTTGCTTGTCCACCAAGTAACCATAAGATAAGTCTTAGAAACCCTTATCCTAGTCGAATTCTAAGGCCTTATCACCTTAGATTCGTCCAACCCATTAATAAGATAATCCTTACCTTATTTTGTAACTATCACATAATTACAATTCAGCCCCTCTAGTTTAATTAATTACACTTGATCACAAAATTAATTCCTAATTAATTATTGACCAATATTAACTAAACAAATATGATTTCTCCTTTAATATATTATTCTTATAACATATTAATAAATCATAATAACCTCTCTCTCTATTTATTTCTCCAATCAAGTTGCTTTGGTGAAGGCAACCCAAAAAGACCATGCACCATCGGGTCAAGTACATACCAAAATAGTTATGGACTTAGACACTAATCCAACAGTCTCCCACTTAGATAAGTCTAATAACTATTCTGCGTATGACTTCAGATCCTGATATGTAATCGTAGCTTTCCAAAGCCGCTGTCAACTCTGATCCTATCAGATACACGTGTCCTTAGATAAGGGATCATATATTCCTCCATTCTTGATATCGTATGAGATATGATTTATAATCATTCTCTTTGTACTATTTCTCGATTCCCAATTTATGATGACTGCCTAATTGAACAAATCAAATTAGCCCTAGCCCGGCCGAGCATTTACGTTTGTCATCACTAAACCATCGAGGGGCCCAAAGATATCGCTTTTATCCTTCTTTGGATAAAAGGAACAGATAAACTTTGATACAATGTTCGCTTGCACTTACTCACCGAATCACACACAATAATATGTTTTATAACACCAAGTTACTAGTGCGTTTTCATATTATCAATATGCAACCGATTAGCAAGATACAACTCACACATCTCGGTTTCAAGAATATAAGATGTTATCGTCTCACCAATCACTCGTGATACAATTCATGGAGTGATCCAAGTGAGCGTGGGTTTAATCCAATGCTAAAATTCATATTCATAAGCACTCATGAACGTTGCAGCAAACATTTGCTTATGTCTAATACTCTTTTCGACAATCCACACACCAATCCACGACAGTCTTCATTCATACCTACTTCCAACATATGAACGACTGTGGCCCGTTTGAATAATTTGATTATTCTTAATAAACTCAATTATTCTAGAAGTCAAAACATGCAAATTGAAACACAAGAATAATACTAATCCCATATGGCCTCAAACCTTTGAGTATAAATAAAACTCCTTTTATTTATCACCATATTGATTACTCATTATTTGTCGTTTCGGGTAATCAACTTCTTACTTGAATTTCTACACTTATCCCATGCTCATAGCATACACACAATGTTTACCTATGGTTCTTACTCTGCGAAATAGATCAAAATGAACACATTTCCAATCATTCTCATTTCACAACTCCAAATCCTTTTTCATAAGTGAAAAAATATCAAATTCTTGCTACTTATAGAATATGCTAGATTCTAACATTCCATGCAATGATTCTTTCGTAATGTCACTGCACCAAAGTCACAAAGACTATTGAAAATGATATTACAAAATCCTCTATCGGAGATTGTTACAAGACAATTCCTTAGATATGATGTCTCTCACTCAAAGTACATTCCTTTGAACATCCTTTTG